GGTAGGCAGTCAATACTCTCCCTTTATTCAAACTTGTTAGCTCTGTAAGCAGCTGGTATTGCCCTGCTACAGTTCCAAGCCATCGCTCCTCTCGCACAAGTCGACCTCTTAATGGGATGTCTTTGTAAAAATGTAGTTGAAGTATATAAGGCTTCCGATGTAGGCGCTAAGAGCGGGCTCTTCTTCTTCATCTGTGATTGCAGCTTTTCATAGTCCAAGTTTGATTGACTTGAACGATACACAGAAACGGGCGCGAATTTGAGCCACTCAGAAAGAAGGCAGATCTCAAATACTGGGTTCTGACTATCAAAATACATCTAATAGGATAGTGGGGCTCTAATTGGGCTCTACGCGGCGTCTGTAAGGCTAATTTTTACAGTAGATGATTCGGTTTGGTGGCCAATAATGGAAATCAAATAAGCGGCCAGCATAGGTATGAGTGGAGCTCATGGAACTGTACTCAATTGGTTACAAAATCACTCTCTCCACGGATGGATTCAAACGAGACAATCGAGTGGAAGGTGCTGTCTTTTAGCCATATTAGATACCGTCTATCAGAGCCTTCTGGTTCTCACAACGACATGCAATGTTTAAACGGCCAAGTGGTCACTGAAATTTCAAAGGAATCACGTAAGAAATCTAACACGAGTGCTAACAGATCACTGTCCAGACATGCAGACACCCAAATAAACTATGAATGCCTACAGCGATTAATGCAAAAGCTACCAGGCAGTAGAAGGAGAGGAGATTGTAGAACATTTTCTATGCGACCTGCTATGATTGAGGTTAGAATACTTTTCTTCTTCTTCATTTATGCATAGATCTTTTCGGCTCTGGGAAGTACCACAATCATGGTTGAGGAATTCTGCATTGTTGTCGAAAACATTTTTAAAGAACGTTTTCTATTATTTTTAACGGTTCTTAGTCCCAACTTTCTTTTCAAAACTCCAAATTCGGTAGTTTATTATATTTTTTTTTTTTTTTGTTAAAAAAATCAAACGCGTTGAACTTCGCCAATTAAGCATAGCAGAAGCTAGAATTTTGAATAAAAAAATCTAAATTCACCAAATATGTGACGCCATTCGCTTATGGCTTGACATAATTTTAGGCCACAAAACGTGCACAGAATTACGAATTATATTGCCCGCATTACCAAATAGCTAAAGAGGTTACTTAGTATGAGTATATACTCGCATGTATGTATGTATGTATGTATATCCGATACTCGAAAATGCCTAAAGAATTCTTCAGCATTGCTCAATAGCTCTGAGCTGTATCCGAAGCAGTAGTTGACGATGCGTTTGATTGGGAATAACTTTCACCAGAAATTGTTAGAGCATACGAGCATGTGCTGAATACAAGTTTAGATCGCGCTGAATATGCGCTGAATGGCATAATTTAACTATTCATTCTTCCACAATTTAGAGCCAAGCCAAATCAATCATACAGAATTTCACAATCGGCCAGTAAGTGGCGAAATGATAACTTTGCTTGCGTAGTAAACCGCCGACATGCGATGCAGCAAATAAATGCACTACAGCAGCAGCGACAGCAGCACAACTGCTCTTCAACAAGCTACGGTTCACCGCCAAACTGGCTGGCCGGTTGGCTGGCTAACTAACTTATTTAGGTTAGCAGGCGCAACTACGTAAAAGGTGGGCGGTAAACCCGATTCGGTTAGGTTTTCGAGCCGAATTTGCTATTAGTACCGCTGCACGCGAATAAACACACAGACACATACTCGTACATACATGCACTCACTCTCACAAAACTCATAAGTCAATCATTCATTCAATGGTATTCAGAACGTATCGACGAATTTACGTGTGTTGTCTGCCCACCTTCCCACTGCACATTGCCCGTTATACGTTTCGTTGATGGCACATGCTGCAGCAAGCGGCCCAGTCGAGCGACGCGTGCGCAATCACAAAACTCAAATGTTCTACACCACCAACAACCGTAGCAATCGCGGTGTGCAAGATAAAATAAGATATACTAAGAAAAAAGGAAAATAAATTAAAATAAAATAAGATAAACAAAAAAAAGGAAAATAAAAAAATAAGATAATACGAAATAAAATAAAAAGATAAAATAAAATTAAGTTAAATTATATAAAAAAATAAATAAATTTAAAATGGAATAAAATATAGAGAAAACTATAAATTAAAATAAAAAAAAAAAAAATTTAAATAAAAAAAAAAAATTTAAAATAAAAAAAAAAAATTTAAAATAAAAAAACGAAAAAAATTAAAATTAAATTAAAAAAAAATAAAGTTATACAAAGGAAAATTAAATTTATTTAAAATAAATAAAAATATGGAAATTCAAAATATAATAAAATAGCATAAAATATAATAACATAAAATTAAATTAAATTAAAATAAAATAATAATTAATAAAAACTAAAATAAATTTAAATTAAAATAAAATAATATAAAATTAAGAGAAAAAAATTAATTTAAAATAAAGAGAAAAAAAATAGTTTGAAATAAAGAATACAAAATTAAAATTAAAATTAAAATTAAAATTAAAATTAAAATTAAAATTAAAATTAAAATTAAAATTAAAATTAAAATTAAAATTAAAATTAAAATTAAAATTAAAGCTAAAAAGAAATTAAAAACAAAATAAAAATAAAAGAAAATAGAATAAAATTAATCAAAATGAAATAAAGGAAAATCAAATTAAATTAAAATAATTAAACATATGGAAGTTCAAAAAAAAAAATATAATAAAAAAATAATAAAATATAAAATAAAATAAAACAGAAGGAAAAACAAAACGAAAAATAATAATTAATATAAAAAAAAAATAAAATAAAATAGCATAAAATAATACAATGTAAAATATAGAAACAATAATTTTGTTAATGAAGTAATATAAATGAAATAAATTTAAAATTAAAATAAAATGAAATAATCCATGATATGACGGCTAGCCAGAAGTCCTGCGAAACTTTTACCACCCTCTTACCGTAATTTTTAATAAAATCAATTAATATTTTTATTTATATTATATATATATTTCGATATATTCAATATTATATATATATATATATATATTAAAACTACAGTTTATCTCATTATTTATTATATATTAAACTTGATACTTTAGTTTTGTGTTTGGTTTTGTGATTTTTTATGCTCGCTTTACGCTTTACGCTTTAATACCAAACGGAGAAGAGAGAGGGGCGTAATGAAAGAATGTACTTTCAATTTTTTTTTTTAATTTAATTACAACTAAAATTTAATACACAAAAGAGTGCATACACCTACATGTATGTATGTATATAAGTTTGTGTGTATATGTGTGTGTGTGAGTGTTCTAAGTATTTATTTTACTGGTTAACACAGTAATTATGCATAATTTACTTTTAAATTAATTTTAAAAATATTTGTTCTATCTCTCAGTTTGCAGCTGATTTTCATGTTGATACGATATCAACTAGATAAAATAAAATATTTTGGCTGCATTTTATTTTTACAATTAAATGTGTTTGTGTGTAAAATGAAAATTCGTTTAAATAATAATATTTATTTTAGTTGAAGTATATATGTAGAGTACAGCACATATGTACATCTGTATGTTATTTTGTGTTAGTTCAAACAATTATGCATATATTGGTGTATGTTTGTTTATTGTATAGTGAGTTCATCTTAAAAGTACAAATACAAAAATAAAATGTATGCACAATACATATATGTAAATATTTATAATAGTTAAATAATACATATTTATATATGTATATAATGTGAATTTTTTTGGATAATTTATAATTATTGTTTTTGTTTTTGTATTATAAAATAAAATTAAGTTAAAATAAAAAATTATTTTATAGTTTAATAAATTCTAGAAAAAACCACAATAACAACTAGACAAAAATTGCAACTATATGGTGTTGAAATAAGTAAAATATTGTCACTCATTTTCCCACCGCATTTTTTAGAGTTTTACTTCATTTTTTTATTTTTTTTGCTCAGTTTGCAATATTTTTCTTCGATTTTCTTTCCTTTTGTTTTGTTGTGTTTCTCGCATATTTTTGAGTGTGTGAGTGTGTGTAGCCGTTTTTTTTTTTGTTTTTTTTTTTTTGCAAATTATTATACTCTAAGCGTTTGTTAATGTGTTTTTTGTATATTTTTCTGTATATTTTCTTTATTTTATGGATCCCATTTTAGTTTATTTTTGTTTTTAATTTAATTCAATTTTTATTTTATCCAATTTTTTTATTTTATCCAATTTTTTATTTTATCTAATTTTTACTTTATTGTTTTATTTAATTATTATTTTATATTTTTTTTTTGTTTTATTTTAATTTTATATATTTTTTAAGTTTTATTTTATTTTAATTCTATTTAAATTTTTAATTAAATTTTATATTTTATTAATTTAATTTTTACTTTTTAGTTTATTTTAATTTTTTATATAATTTTTTTTTTTATTTAATTTATATTTTACTTCTTTTATCATTTAATATTTGTTATTTTATTATTTTATTTTGATTTATTTATTTGTTTTTTATATTTTTTAATTTAATTTTATTTTTTACATTTTATTAATTTTTCATTTTATTTTTATTTTTTCATTTTATTTTATTTTTATTTTTTCATTTTATTTTATTTTATTTTTTTTTTCATTTTATTTTATTTTTTTTTTTCATTTTATTTTGTTTTATTTTATTTTTTTGTTTCATTTCATTTTATTTTTTTGTTTCATTTCATTTTATTTTACCTCTTTATTTCATTTTATTATATTTTATGATTCAATTTTTTCATTTCTTTTCTTTTATCATTTTATTTTATTATAGTTAATTTTTTTTTTTTCATTTTATTTAAGTTAACTTTTTTTTTAATGTAATTTTTTTTCATTTTATAGTTTTTATTTTATTTTATAATTTTTATTATTTATTTTATTTTTTTTCTTTTCATATTTTTTAATTTGATTTTATTTTTATTTTTAAATTTATTTTTATTCATTATTTAATTTTTAATATTTAATTTTTGTTTTTTTTTTATGTTTGCAGTTTCAACTATTGTGGTTTTGAGTGCTTTCTTTAACGTTAAGGCTAAATATATAATAATTTTAATTTACTAAATTAATTTTTGTTTTCATTTTATTTATCTTTTTATTGTTATTTATTTTTATTTTTTTTTGTTGTAGGTTATACCGACTCTCATTTCGTTCGGTAAAGAATTTCCAATAAGTGGCCTAAACAGTTTGTGAACTCATGCAGCATGCCGTTATGTGCGTCTTGGAGTGGTTTTAGAGAGCAAATACAACACTGTTAAACTAAGAAGATCCACATAATGTCATCGCTGCACCACCAGGCCTACATTACACCCAACAGTTTTGCCTCTTTCATGTAGTTCTTGCCTTTGCTGCCTTATTGTTTTTAAAACGTGCCTGCGTCATATCAACATTGCAATGAATATTTTTTAAAACCAAAAAACAAAACAAAAAAAAACTACAAGTACGTTTAACATACATACATATCTACTATATTTATATATATATATATATATATTATATATATATATGCGAATAGATAAAATATTGTATTTGTCTACAACTGCTGCTGGTCTGTATGTATGCGAATACCCTAACATTTTTCAACTTAAATTCTTAAATCTACAGAGACAAAGTGCGCCTGCTTGTCAACCACCTCGTGCATTGCATCTAATAGCCGCGCATGCACAATGCGCTTATATTTTTTACTGGCGTGTGTTGTTATGTGTTGTAGTCGTCATGCTGTGAGCTAAAGTAACTGACAAGCCCACTAAATTCGCTCGCCTGACCCTCACCCCTATCGCGCGCGCCCTCCGCTGTGCCGGTTGTACCTTGCGCGGAGCATGAATCATCCGCGCCATCAGCTTGTATGCCGCCTGGTGAGCTGCGCGATCCGGACGATTCGCCAGCTATGACAAGTGGTGATTTGATTTGCGCTGCCGCGTAGGTTTCGAGTGTGGTGAGTTTCTTTCGGGGTGGCTGCTGCTGCTCACTTATGACACTTGCGGCTGCTGCCACTGTTGCGCTGACAACTGGTCCACCTTTGCTATTGACTATGGTGGCAACTGGCGCGCTAATAGCGGTTTCAGTTGCTATTGCACGTGTTGGCATTGGTGGTGGTGGTGGCGCTGCTGTTGTCGCTGCTGCTGCTGCTGCTGCGGTTGTTGTAGTTGGTGTTATTGCTTGTGGTGATCTTGCTCTTGGTATGGTGGTTGGTGTTTGTGTTATGGTTGGTGTTGGTATGGGTGATTTTTGAGAAATATTACGCGAACTTAAGCTGGCGTTCGCTGCGCTCGATGACGGCGCTGATACTATGACTGAGCTTGGTTTGGCTATAATTGCTGTTGTTGTTGTAGCGGCGACTGTGTTGGCTTTTGCATTAGTTATTGTTGGTGTTGTTATGGCTGTTACGCTGCTCACTACTTTGGGTACTGCTGCAGGCGGTATTGACGCTGCCGAGACAATCGAAGCCGTCGCTGCAGCTGTTGCTGTTGTTGGTGGTGGAGGCGGACCGCCACTGGCACGCGATATCGGTGCTGGTGATGAAGTGGGCGGTCGCTGCATTGGCGGCCCGTGTGGTGTGGTTAATGGTGGCGGTGGTGGATAGTAGCCATATGGTGAATAAGTACCTGCAAAGCGGCATATTAGAGATTAGTTATTATAAGCAGATAGAGGTTAGAGCCTCCGCATTTTTTAAATAGCTTTCAAGCACTTACGTGGCCCACCCGGGAACTCCGGTCCACCGCTAACTGGCACACGCAGATTTGGTACATGCGGTCCGCGTGGCACAAATGCTGGGTTGCCGTAAATTGGTGGCCTGGAAATAAAAACCAATTTAAATCAACACTCCAACATGTGAAAGAGAAAACAGTGAACTTTTCTCAGAGACCATTTGCTTACCGATAGGGATTCAAATGTGATGTTGAATGACGTGCTGGTGGCGGCGGTCCAGCGTACATACTAGCGCCCATACCGCCGGGTACGTGATGATCGCCTGGTGCCGGATATGTCGGCCGCTCGCCCGGACCACTTTGTGGTGGTTGGCCGTGGTTTGTGTGTGGCGGTGCGCTACCACGCAGTGGCGGTGGCGGGCCATAGCTTTGACGCATACCATGCGGCGGTAAACCTGGCAAGCCAGGGCCATCGCGTTGACGCTGCATGGCTGGTGGTGGACGTGGTCCAGTTACCGCAGCCAGTGAGGTCGGCGGCGCAAAGAAGCGCGCAACTGTAAGAAAAAATGGTAAGATATTTGAAAATTGAACTACGCACGCAACTCACCATCCGCACCGGGATATAAATTACTCATAGCACGTACGACGCTCGCATGTGTAGCCGATGCTGGTAGCTGTGGCATGCGTGTAATTACCGATGCTTGTGATACTGCCGCTGGTCCGGGCCCGCGTGGACTCTCATGCTGTTTATACAGCTGGGGTGGAGGTGCATTCGGTGTGGCGGAAGCTGGTGATTTAATTACGCTGCTGCCGGCACTGTTGTTGGCGGATTGTGGCTCCACGATTTTGTCTGATTGTGTTGTGGCTGCGGTGACGGCGGCCGCCGTTTGCTGTTTCTGCAGTGTGTCACGCAGTGGTGTGATCTTTTTCCGTCTACCACGTGGTTTTGGTTCAGCATCTGGTTTGTTGGCGGCCCCAGTTGTGGTGGGCGGCGGCACACCACTTGTTGCTCCACCGCCACTAGCTAGGGCATCTCGAATGGCCGACGCGCCGGGTAAGGGTTGAGATGTTGGTGGGAGATTGTGTCGCGCGGCTGCAGCAGACATTAAATGTTGCGCTGCTAACATCTGTTCCACCGACATTCCTGCCGGTAGACGTGGTAAATGTTGTGGTGGAAAATTGCTTCGATTCAAAGGTTGACCCAACGGAGCGTTGAGTGCACTCTGGAGCAAGTGCGTGGGTGGTGGTCCTGATGGATGACGCTGTAATAAATGCGCCAGCGGCATGTTGGCGCCGTGTGGTGGAAATTGATGTCGCAGCAGGGGTGGATGTAGTGTCGGCATGGGCAATCGTTTACGCATTGGCTCCTGTAAACCAGAAGACGACGACATATGGTGTGAGCCAGGCGCTGAGCTAGCGCCAGGCATTTGTGACAACGCTGCCAATGAAGGATTGATTAATGATGTCTTCTCCAGTCCAGGATTGCTTACTACTACGCTAGGCGTGTTGGCTGTCTGATTCGTAGCGGCAGCAGCTGTAACTGTTGGCGGCGCAGTTGATGCAACCAACGCTTCTTTGGGTTTGACCGAATGTTTTGTCGGCGTACGTAGCACCTCATCTGGCGGCGGCAACTCACGCGCTGCAGCTGCTGCGGTCAATTCCTCTTCTTCTTCCACCATACGTGCTATGGTATCCTCATCCATGTCCTCTGGGAAGTCGTCGGGCAAATCGGCATCGTCGAACTCATCTACCTCATCGACATTATCCGAGTCGCCCACACTTTCGCCTTTACGTTGCAGGTAGTCTGCATCCAGTACCTTGGCTTGGCGTATCACCGACAGTGGCACCGTAGACAGTGAGTCACTCAGCTTCGCTGGTGAACGTTTGTCTTTCTCGCCATCCGCTTTGATAGGTGTGAGTCGCGGAGTCGCTGCCAACTTGGCGCCCTCTGCATTCTTTTCTGCCAACATGCGCTTGATTTCTTCTTGGCGCTGTATGAATTTTTGTCGCTCCTCAGGTGGTGTATCTGGTCGCTTTACGCCCGGTTTTATACCGCCATCGGAACTCTCGTCGTCGAAGTCCTCCAAGTAGGCATAACGACGACCACGTGTCCGTCGCGTGCTGTCTTCACTATCTGAGAAACTGTCTTCATCTTCTGAGAGCTTTTTCTTCTTTTTCGAAGCGCTGGTCTTGCCTTTGCCTTTACCTTTTCCTTTGCCCTTCGAGGAGTTGCTGGGTTTGAGTGGCTGGGAACGTGGCTGTTTGCCAGAACCCTTGCCACCGGTGATGTCATCATCATCATCGTCCTCCTCTTCTTCGCTTTCGCTAATATCATCGTCGGAGTATTCAACGCGTTTCACCTTTTTAATGGGCTGCTTCTTCATTTTCGGTGACTTACGTGCAATGGTTGAAGAGTTACCCTTTCGTTGCTTCTTACGCTTTGAGGGATACCAGGCGCCGTCAGATTCGCTTGTCGAGTCATCGCACAAGTCAGCGCTGTCGACGTCCTCAAGGTTTTCCGAAGCCTCGGAGTCCGTCTCAGATTCGGTATAGTCTGAATCATCTTTACGTTTCTTTTTCGACTTGGGACGCTGCTCCTCTTCGTCTTCATCGCTTTCATCAACGACAAAACGGCGATCTTTACGCCTTTCACGCACAGCACGACGTGCGGCTTTGCGCTGCTTCTTATTTTTCTTACCGCGTCGTCGAAATTCTTCCAAGCTCGAATCGCTGTCCGTCGAAACAGAGACGGAAGTGTCCTCCTCTTCCTCATCGTCAAATGAAGAAGTTTTAAAGTCTTCATCTGAGGCATTATCTTCTTCAGAGCTAATATCTAACGTAGTTAATTTACGGGACTTCTTTTTCGTTGATTTTAGCTTTGGCTTCGCTTTACGCTTTAGCACCTCATCATCAGAGTCTTCGTCATCATCATCCTTGTTTTCAACCTTCGCTTTGGCATCTTCATTCGATTCTGATCCTTTTTCTTGTTCTTTTTCCTGATCATTTTCCTCTTCCGCTTCTTTTTTCTCAGCTTTCACCGTCTTCTCCTCGCCCTTTTCAGCTTCTTTGCCATTCGCTTCATCTTTCACCAGCTGTCGCTGTCGCGCCTTCTCCTCTTTATCCGCCTCCATTATGGTTGAAATATCCTTTCCGCGTCCCAAATTACCCGCGCCAGCTAACTCGTCCATCTCTTTCTTCAACGCCGAATTGATAAGATCATCGTATTCATTTAGCCGATAACTAACATTTATTTGCCGACGTTTGCGCAACTTGTAAATCGGTTCGTCATCGCTGTCGGTAAGCGAAGAAGATGAGGAGGAACCGGAACCACTGCGAGAGTCTGCACTATCGCTACCCGATCTATGCGGCGAGCCGCTACCTGTGCCACTATCCGAGTCATTGCGTTGACGTCGTCGTGTAGCAATACCACGTGCGGCTGCGCGCCGCCGACTACGCCCATCGCCACGTCTACGTTTGTGACTATCACGATTCTTCTCGGTACGTGATTTCCGGTTGCCCGTGCCTTTCTTCACCAGCGGCTTATCATCATCGCTGTCATCGTCATCGCTGTGAAGAGCGCTGCGCTTTTTAATGCGTTCTTCGTTCTTGTCAGCATCGGAACTGGCACTTGTACCACTCTCATCCTCACCCTCACCATCAACACCGTTCTCACCGCGACGCTTGCTCTTTTTCTTTTGCTTTTTACGCTCTTTCAATTCCTTCTGTTGCAGTTTCTCGTTTTCGAGTCTCTCTTGTTCGACACGCTCCGCCTCGGCAGCCAGCCGTTTGTTTTCCTCTTCCTGCAAGCGTTTATGCTCAACAAAGTCATCAAAATCTTTCAGCTGTTTCTCCAGAGCAACTATCAACTGCTCTTGCTGGCAAGGTGGACAATACCAATCTCCTTCGGGTATGTAGAAGAGCACTGGCGAAAGGCAAGAACAATGGTAACCCTTGTCGCAGTTATCGCAGAGCAGAATCCACTCGGGGTGGTCCGATTTTCCACACTTTTGGCACGCCTCCTCATCGCCGTCTTCACCCTCCTCAGCATCCTCTTTGCGTGCGGTGCGAGCGCGTTTCATCGGCACCACTTGCGATTCATCTTCCAAATCGGATTCCGGCGAGAATTCGTGATCTGAGCGGAAGAGCGGCGAACCGGGGTCGCTATAATGTGGCGGTTCATCTTCTTCCTCTGGCTCCTCTTGCTCCTCGGAACCTGACGACCAGCCATCTTTGCCGGGACATTTTTTCTTCACCTTCTTCTTCAGCTCTACTTCACTTTCCTCTGATGACGACGATGAAGGTTCTGAGGGTTCCGCTACTGTGGGATCTGTTTGCTTCTCCGCCTTCTTCTTTTTCTTCAACTCCTGCTTCATGGTACGTAAGGCGATCTCCTCGAGTTTACGCCGTTCCGCCTCCTCACGTATTTTCTGCTGGGCTATTCGTCGCGACTGACGTACTGGGGTCTCCGAATCGATGGTTTCAATAATGTTAGTCGCGTCCACATCACGTTGTTTACGCGCACCGCGTCCACGTGCAGAGGCGGGTGTAGTTTCAGCAGTGCTCTCCTCGGACTTTGCCATTTTGGCGGGCGAAGAAGTGGATTTAACAGGCGACACAGCTGGCTTTGAAGGTGAAAGAGATGTGGCTTTGGCTGTGGCTGTGGCTGTGGCTGCGGCTATGGTCGAAGCTTTGTTTGCAATTGTAGAGCCGCTTGGAGTCGCGCTCTTTTCATGAGAAGTGTGAGCTGTTGGCGCTTTGTGAGAAGCTGGTTTCGGCTGCAAACAAAAGGAGGAGCTTAGTAAGAGCTGAGTTAACATCACTTAAACCTAAAACTTACCTCTTCTTTTACAGTTGTACCTAACTCTTTTTTGGCATTCTTCTTTGTCGGTTTCGTGGCTTTAGGCGCCTGCTTAGCTTTCGACTTTAAGTCCTTCATTTTTGCTGTTGTTGTTATAGTTGTTGTTGATGTAATTGTTGTCACTGTTTCAGTTATTGACGCAGCAAGAGCTTCCTTTTTCGAAGACGTCGGCTTGATAGGATCCACACTTACGCTTTCCACAACTTTGCTGGCCTCATTCACGTCTTCAGTCGTCTTCTCTTCTTTTATACACGCTTTCTTCGGTGTTGCCGTGGGTGTTGTTTTTGCACCGGCTCTGGTGCGCTTCGGTTGCGGCAATTCAGCATAAATCACCGTCCCTGCAGTGCGCCTACTCGAACGTCGACCAATTGTGGCCACCTCTGCAGGAGATGGACTCTTCTCTTTCTTAATTATAACCTCCGCTTTGGCTTCCTGTTCCACGAGTGCCTCGTATTTCATTTCTTTTTTACCTTCAGACTCGTTAACACCTGTGGACTTCACCTCTTCACTGCTACGCCGTTTCCGCTGCCGCTCAGGTGTCTTACGATCGGGTGTTTTACGCGGCGCACTCGCTCGCTCTGCCACTTTAGTCTCGCAAACTTTACGTTCGGGTGTTTTACGATCAGGCGTTTTTTCCTTTTCCTCGCTACTAAATGACTCCAACTTTTTAACAATTTCCACTGTTGCAGCGGCCGCGCTGGTGCTGGCATCGCTGATTGTACGCTTGCGCGGTATCGAGTCCTCATCGCTTTCCTCCTGGCGTATTTGTGTGAGCAAATTCTTCTTAAGCGGTTTGGTTATAGGCGATTTTTTTGGTGGCGAGATGGTCGCAGGAGCATTCAGCTCCGTCGGCGTTGCAGCACTAGCGGCAGCCGCAGCTGTCATGATAGTTGGTGAGGTTTTAGCTATAACTGCTGGCGCCTCTGTTGCTGTCGGCACCGTTGTGGTGGCTGCCGTTTCGCTGCTCTTCTTTAACTTTTTTTCGATGATTTCGGCAAGTGTAGGCTTCTGACGTATAGATGTGGATGTTGTTGGAATTGTAGGTGTTGCGTGCACGGCTGCTGGCGCGGTTGAGGTTAATACTGGCCCTGGTGGCGGCATTGTCACTACAGGTGGACTTAACAACGCGCTTTGGCTGACTATAGGCGCTGCAGTGGAGGATGTTGCTGGTGCTGGGAAAACCGGAAATACCAACGTTGTGGGGCTTGTCAAATTTAGTGCGACATTATTCTCTTCAGCAGTTGGCACTGTGCTTTCAGTGAGCTTAGCTGCAGCTTGCATACCTTCTCTTTTGGCAGCAGCTTCTTGCGCCACTTTCAAATTTTTCACGCAGCGCTCGATTTGCCTACGAGGCGTTATTATTTTTCGCCTACGACGCGCATCCTCCTCACCACTGGACGAAGTTGTTTCTTCGACGCGTCCTTTTTCTGCTTCGACTTTCTTGCGCAGATCGGTGTTGGTTATTTTCGGACGCATTTTAAAGCGTTTTCCAGCCGGATCAAGATCGAGATCTGTAGTAAGTTCGTCCTGTTGCTCCGATTGTAGGTCAACTTCACTTTCTGATGTGGACAAACGATGAGTGGACGGCGCTGGCATATCTTCAAGTCGGCGCTTGCGATTGATAACGGCGGGAGTGGTGGAGGGGGTGGCGCTGGATGGGGTGGCGCTGGATGGGGTAGCGCTGGATGGGATAGCGCTGGATGGGGTGGCGCTGGATGTAGTTGATGGGATGGCGTTGGATGTAGTGGCGCTGGATGGGGTAGCGCTGGATGGGGTAGCGCTGGATGGGGTAGCGCTGGATGTAGTGGATGGGATGGCGCTGGATGTAGTGGCGCTGGATGAAGTGGATGGGTCTGCGGTAGCGACTGAGGTAGTAGTGACTGGAGCTGGAGCTGGAGCTGTAGCAGACTTATCGTCTGGGGTTTCACTAGTTGTAGCAGTAATTTCTAAATTGGCCAATTTTTTCTTTGCGTCTGTATCATGCAAAGTGGAAGATTGCACACCTTCGGGGGCGAGTTGTTGTTCTACAGAAATTTTGCTTGTTGGGGACAACAATTTACTCTCACCAGTCTTAGTAAGAGATACTGCATCGCTTGTATTTTTTGTTTCTTCATTTTTAGTAGATTCTTTTGAAATATTTTCTGTAGGCGTGCCATTCGGAGATGAAGGTTCAGCATCTTTTTCTGCAACAACAGTATTTGTGCTTTTAATATCAGTGTTTTTATCATTAGTTGAGTCTGGTTTTGATACTGTGCTCTCCCTCTCTTTATCACTCAGAGTATTATCGTCTGTTTTCTGCTCATTACAACTACTATTTTCACCAGACTCAGTTTGATTAACTTTTTCTTCTGTTTCCGTGCAAACTTCCGGTTCTTTATCCTGTTTTTCTGGCAAACTTTTCTCTTCTGGAGGTTCTTCTAATACACTTTCCTTTGTTTCATCAGGCTTCTTTTCTTCTATAAATACTTTATTGTCTACCTCATTATTACCTTTAATTTGTTCTGTTTCCCCCTCATTTTTTATCTCATTAATCACTTCTTTCTGAACTTCACTATCCAGCTCTTTCGCCTTTCCATCATCTGTACTTTCGACACACTTTTCTACATTTTCAACTACAACACTTAATTGTTGTTCCTTGCTACAATCAGCATCATCGCCATTAGTTGTCACTTTATCTGGAGATTCGTGTAATTTAGAAGGAGCCTCCTCCATGGCGCTACTAACATCATTAACTTTTATTGTTTCGTTAGTTTCTTTGCCATTACTTTCATTCACACATTCTTCATAAGATTTATTCTCTGCAGCACCGTCATCAACCTTTTCGCTTGACGAAGATTTAACCTCTTCACTACTTTCAACATTTTCACTTTTTTCAACTATTTTTTCATCAACTTCATCAAGCGATTGATCCACGCCACAAACTGTCAACTTTTCTTCATCCTTTGGTGGTTGCTTGATCGGACTTAGTTTAAGACAACCTGGTTCGCCAAAGAAAAAAGTTGCTTGAGGTTCATTTGTTTTTTTGGGTGTCGTTGGTGTTGTTGTCGGTTGCTCTGTTGTTGCCGTCGCGGTCTCGCCATCAGTTTTGCCGTTGCCAACTAAGCATTCGGCGCCACTCCCTACACCAAATACGTAAAATATTTCCTCTTCAACAGCTTCACCAACAATTAGATCTGTGTTCAATTCTGTTTCATCGCAGACATCTCCAAATAGATCTTCGCTGAGAAAAAATGGGTTTTCGGCTTCACATTCTTTTCCACAACCCTCTCCACGTACAATGAGTTCTGGTTCTTCAATCGCTTCGCCAACATCATTCTCTTCATCAGTATCACCATCAGAGTCTTCGATTTCTTTCTCCTCATTCTCGTCTTCCTCAGCCGCTGCGCTATCTATATCCTCCTCTTCTATAGACAATTCTTCATCGTCCTCATCATCGTCATCTTCATCTTCCTCATCCTCTTCTTCGCCCTCGGATTTGGTTTTTTCATAACGGCTAGGTTTTTTTGCGCGATTGACATCCAAAAGTGATGGGCGCGCTTTCTTTATTATATTCAGTTCCTCGCTCCGTGGTGAACTTTTATCAATATCTTCAATAGAACGTTTGGTGGCTTGTGCCGCTGCCGTGGGATTTGGTGACGAAACGGTTAACTTGCCATTATTTGATAATTTTATACGTAAATTTGGTATACGGGCTTCCTCCTCTTGCGAGTCATCTTGTTCTTCTGGTGGAGGTGGTTTATCGAGCTGTGCAGCGCAGCTATTACTGCTACTAGTATCCTCATCCACACCAATATCTGTCGAAGGCAAGACTACTTCATTGCCTCGCAAACGCGATATAAGGTTAACTAATTCCTCACGCGTAGTGGCTACTACTTGCCAAATCTCTTCATCTAAATGCTCCTGATAAATGCGTAAATTGCAATCATCATCTTGTGTAAAGTAGTAGTTATGACCAAGCCGATCACGTCCTATTGGTTGCGAACGCAATAAATCAGCGCTCATTGTTAGTATTTGAGCACGAAATTTAGCATTACGCTGGAACTGGCTTTCAAGCAGCTCCTGTGGGTAAAAAGAAATTACATTTATTAAATTAAATTGTAAATGTGCATGAAAATGTTGTCCACTTACTCTAAAAATGCGTAGTTTAACTTTTAAGCTTGACTTCTTATAGCCAAAACGCTCTATTTCCCAAGCATCTTGCGCCGAATACGTAAAACAGAATTTGCTCAATGCTGACTCCCAACTTTTCTCATGCACAGTTTTTCGTGTTTTACGCAAAAGTTTTATGTGTAGATCCCGCAGGTGATCAGAAACTAAAGGAAAGAAAATTAAATGTTTACATAAATACAAAATGACAAAAAATAAAGGTAATAAAGGTCATGCTACTCACCTTCATCTGTATTCGTTAGCCATTCTTGCAAATGTTTGAAATTCGGTAGGGTCAAACCCAAATATTTAGAGAATTTCTGTAGGAATGTACAAATTACCGCGAAATCTGGATCATTGGCACAGGAGCGCAAAGAATTGTTTAGAGCTTCCTCTTCTCCCTCTTCAGTGCAAGCATCTTCTTCTCTTTTCATTTCACCCGTTGCAGCTGATGACGCCGAAGTCGACGCAGCAGCCGCAGCTGCTGCATCTAGCATCGACGACGCCATATTTTCTGTCGTTTATGTGCTCCACTACCGAAAACACTCAGCCGGCTAAGTATGAACCAATTTTGTTGATAAAATAGCACACGCGTGTAGTTGACTTATTCAATGTTCACTATTCTTTACTTTCAAAAAATGATTAATTTTTACTAAATACGGCTACTGTCAGCAGCGTCAAATAGCGCTGCTTCGCACGACGCCACAGCGTTTTTCTTTGATCTACTCACTCACACGCTCAATAGTTGACTTTTTCGTTGCCTTCCTAAGAAAAAAATTTCTCAGCGAAAATCTTCTTAACTTCAACATCGACCAATTAAAACTTCAAAATTTCCTACAAAATCAAACATTTAGTCACACTTTTTATACATTATACGATACACAACATCTTGACATAAGTTTTGCCGATATTTTCAAATGGATATTTTGTATAAAATCCAAGTAATTTTTCACAAAACAGCGCAGCACACAAAAAATAACAAATTTTCTACCACAATTCTTCAATTCTCTTTTCGGTAATGGAGAATGATTAGTATGCAAGCGTGCTGCCGGATCGCAATGTTATCGAAAAATAGTTATATCGGAGAAAATTCTGCAAAAAACGAATATGACGGTAACCCAAAATCGCGAAATACTAAGGTATTCAGCTAAAATGCAAAAAATCAACCTTCAGAACATATTTGTTGACTTAAGATTATAATTTTTATGCACAAGCATTATTATTCCTCCTGATCGATAATTTTCGATTTCTTTATCGACTGATTTCTTAACACAGGGTTGCGTTGAGTTGTGCTGATTCTAAAATAAACTTTAAGAAAAAAACTCAAAACAAGTAAATACAAAAATTGCAGTTTTTATAGATCGCAAATTATTTATTATTGCAACAAAACCGATAATTATTAATATTCAGGATGCTTTTTCCACTATTTTTGATCAGATTGGAAGAGAGTGATGCTGCCATTTAATGCGCTTGCCAATAAAACATTAATTGTAATCGATTTCTAATCGATCGATTTCCGTTCAAAGCGGAAGTCAGAAAAGGAATGAGTAAATTTGAGTGCTTTGAAAATAATAGTTATAGTTGAAGCTTTAATTTATAAGAACTAGCTTGTTGAAGTCAAAAACGATTTTGCACGATAATGTTGACATCTGTGGAAGGATAATGCAAAAATATCGAAAATTTCCACAAATTCTCTCTACCGCAATAAAACTCAAATGGAATGCAAGAAGACTGCCAAGGTATTGTTCAGACCATTAATTGGAAGATTATTCAAGGCGCTTGACCTTGAATCGACCGAAGATAGCATACCCGAATATGCTGAGTTTTTCTAATGCTTTATTGAAGATATTGGTGCCACTCTGCATGCCGAGATCACTCTGACTATTCAAGAGCTGAACAAAAGGTACTGGATGCGAGTATTTACCAACGGAACAGGAAGGAGATAAAAATCAGATGGATGGAAGATTAAATGAAAATACAAAGAAAATCCAACTGGAAAACTGGATAGAGCGAGCAGAAGAAAATTTGTTCAACGATGAAGCTCCGTTTTAGTTTATAAACAAATTTGTCGACCTTTTTGGAGTGATAATAAGCCAAAAGCTATTGTTGAAACGCCATTACAACTACAAAAAGTCACCGTTTGGTGTGATCTATGGACAGAGAAAATTATTTTTAAAACACAATGGTAAACGTTTATATAACAAAGCCGAAATCTTCGCCATAACAATAAATTATATGCATTTTATTTCTTTTTAAAAAACACGCGCCTAAAAAAATCACCCTTTATATTTATTGTATATTCTTCTTACATTGCAATAGTCGCAAATTTAATTTGTCTGATCGCGCATTTGTAATAAAAATTTGTTCATTTCGTTTTAGCCGATTACTCACACTTTTCGTCGTAAATTGGTTTTTAAGAGCGCCAAGAAAACGCTAAGAAAATAAAGAGACGTCATTCACATTCATACAACATAGAGCAATTATACACAAACTCTTAACAAAACATGGCCAACATTTTAACTGTGCATGCCGAGATCACTCGTGAGCATATATGTATGTATATATAAATTTTTTGAAAAATTGAGAGCAGCAAAATCCAACAGGAATTGCAGGCGCTCAGGTAGGTAAATGACTTATGAAGACTCTCATGTGGTTTGAGGTGTGTGTGCGTGTGTTTGCAAGTGCTGCAATAATGAAAAACGTAAATAAAAAAATTGTAAATAAAGATAATCTAGTCAACGTCCTCTTAATAGAGTTGCATTTCGAAACAGCGCAAAGAACGCAAACACAAAAAAACGAGAAAAACCGGAAGCATTGAGAGCACAAGTTTCTTATATTTATTAGCCAGAGAACGTAAATATAATTATATATTTATATATATATATATATATATATATATATATTTACGTTCTCTGTATTAGCGTTGAGCGAATAGCGCGAGGAGCCAAGATAACACAAGCACACCACCACACCAACAAAAACCAGCCGAGCACATTTACCAAGTCGAAAACTCGCTAGTAGCCAAGCCGAGTGCGCGTTTCGCCTGGATCTCGCAGCCAGTTGGTTATGAGCTGTGGACAAAGCGAATTCGTTATTTCTCAACTGCGCAAAAACTCTTAAATTTTTGCATTTTAACAAAATTTTGACTGAGTGCATTAAAGCAAGGCTACTAGCAAGACAAGTGTCAGCAATAGCAAAACAAAAAATTAAAGAATTAACAGACGGTGGATTTAAAGTGCAAAAAAAAAAACAATAAACAATAAAAAATAAACATTACTCTTTACAATTTTTACGCACACTTTTGCATACATACATACATATACTATTTTTAAACACAAATTCGAACAAAAATATATATTATATATACAAACATATTTACAAAAGTTAAGTTTACAACAATATCAGCAGTCGTTTTGTGGGAACTATATTTAAAATTACCAGTCAGCTGCGGTTTTCCCAGCAGCACGTTGGAAAGTTGTACAGGAAAACGTGAGCGACGGCCTTACTAGAGAAACTAGACGTTAATAAATCGTTAAGTGTGTGTTAGCCAAGTACGAGGAGGACAGACAAAGAGGGTACTTACTACATTTCTACATTTCTAGCGAGCGTAAAACTGTGTAACTGCGGAAAATTGGCACAGGCAATTCAAAATGTCAGCCCTGCAAACGGTAAGTGTGTGTTTTGGCTAGGCGAAAAAAAGGTGTGAACAAATTCAGAGCAAAAACATAAAACGAGATTAACATAAAATCGTACAAACACAATGTGCAAAGGTTACGGACACATCGTTCATAGCATATTTCCAACAAACAGTGCGATAATGTGTACGCAGTTGTTAGGTGGATGTGCGTAGTTTGTTTTTGTTGATTTCGTTTCAGTTTTTTTTTTTCTGACGTTTTGACATTGAAGTACCGACATAAATATTCATAAGCGGCAAAATAGCAATAGCAAGTTGTATGTAAATATTTACTTGTTTATTATCTATAAATTCTTGCAAAAAATAAGTGAAATCCGATTTACGGATTATATACTGCTAATAAAACAAAAAAAAAATTAACTTAAAAAAATGTATAAAATTAAAAAAAAAAACAATAAAATAAATAAAATAAACGTAATAATATACAATTAAAAAATACTAATAAATTTATTAAATAAAATACGATTAAAAAATTAAATTAAATAAATTTAAAAAATTAAATTAAATCAAATTAAATTAAATTAAATTAAATTAATTATAATAAATAATAATAAATATTTAATTGAAAATTTTAATAAAAATAAAATTGCAAAAGTAATAATAAAAAAGCAAAATTAAATTGAAAAAATTAAATTAAATCAAATTAAATTAAATAAAATTAAGTATAATAAATAATAATAAAAATTTAATTGAAAATTTTAATAAAAATAAAAAAGCAAAATTAAATTCAAAAAATTAAATTAAATCAAATTAAATTAAATAAAGTTAAGTATAATAAAAAATAATAAAAATTTAATTGAAAATTTTAATAAAAATAAAAAAGCAAAAGTAATAATAATGTCAATAAAAATGTTAAAATATTTGTAGCGTAAATAACGCCGGTATATACACTCCCAATCAATGAAATAGACTCAACGTGTTCCTAATGTGCTTGGCAGTAAATATGCGTTAAAAAGTCAGAGCTGTAGCCAACCTATGTAGATATCTACCCTGCGCCGAGTGATAAGAACTGCTGAACATTAAAAAAGTAGTAAATTAAAAAATTAAAAAAAAAGCCATCGCTAACAGATGTTCTAAAGAAAGCCCGCGCTTATGTTAAAACGCCTTTTTTTCAGTCTAAAACCGCTTTAATTTGAATGAACCAAACGGTTTCAATTATTACTCCAATGTAATAAGAAAGGAAAATATCATTTGACCCGCCACCATAGTCATGAGGGTGGCGTAATAGTGCGGGGGCGAACTCTTATTAAGGAAGAGCAGATATTGTTTTATTTTCTACCTAAAGAATGGATCGCCGATCAAAATGGTTCTTTAATGGAGTAACCATCTTACTCTACCTATCTCAAAACAATTGATACAATTGAGATTGTGTGGGGATGGTTCTCGAAAACAGTTTATGCAAGTGAACGATAATGAGAAGATGTTAAACCGTTAAAAATGTCATCCAGTTACGAGCTTACATTAAACTATTTAAAGTCGCTTTACGATTTCTTTTCCAACTCAATTTTCGAATATTTTCTAAAAAGGTAGTCACAATCGCCAATAATAGTTTGATCGTAAATAAATGTTTACCGAAGTTTGTAAAAAAATTATTTTAAATCACTCTTAAACCTTGAGCATATTTCTTTGACCAATAAAAAAAAGGTAAAAAATATCCCTAATCAAAAAAAAAATTTAAACAAAACCTAATTTAACATTTTTGTTCTTTTAATTTAAGAACCGATTCTTTAATAATATCTCGACTCCATTTCATTGATCCGGAGTGTAATGATATTTGATAGCTTCAAAAGTCGGCGCGTTTTTTTTTTATATTTTTGAATAAAATTTTTCTTTATTGAAAATTAAGTTTATTCAAGTAAAGGGTGTTCTTTCTTTAGACACGTGGATTTCAATAGGAAATCAAACACATCTTATTTAATGTTATGATCCAGAATTTAGCTTTATTATAATGATAAGCGTTTTCTCTCATGTTTTTAAAATGATTTCGGGCAATTAGCCGCCGACTAGTTTCTAACAGCTTTTAACATTGTTTTAATTCTTTTTTTTTATACAAGCCGGTAAGTACATACTTAACTACTTAACTTATTAATTATGAATTATCGTAAATAGGCTCGTTTTGAGTACCACTTATTCAAAGATTCTTGCTAAAATATTTGCATAGAAAAATAATTAAAAAAAAATGTGCGAAAAAAAAAAATGCAATTAATTTTTTTATGGGCCAACTCAATTTGGAATCTTATCAAATATAATATATGTAGGCACTTAAAATATTCGTGGTGATGGTTATTATTGACGTTGTTGCTGATACCTGTCCCCGAGACCAATATTTGAATTGTTAGACAATCGACGGGAGATAAGAACTCGATTATAAAAAAAAAAAAGTTTCGTGTCGCCGGCGACGTGCAATATGGGAAGATACAGTGATTGCTCAGATTACACTGCGGCACACTTTTTCTTCCAAGTCTTAGTTTATTTAAACAAACAATGAAGTGTCTTGATGATGACCCGAGGCCAGGCAGGAGCATTGAGGTGAAGAAAAATTGTCTTCTACGCAAAAACCGTTGGAACATTCGTTACAACCATTTTTAAAATACTGCACGATAACACTTGGCATGCCATATTTTCATAAAATAAGCTTGCGTGCAAAAAGTGAGGTTATACATTTGTAAAATTACATACATCACGTGCATTTAATTTGAGTAATTTTTTTTTTAAGATTTTTCTACGAATTAAATCGACTTTTGTGATTTTTAGGGTAGTATTAATTACTTTAGTAATAACTCAAGGAAGTTCGCCGGGTCTGTTAGCATGCTATAAACACACGCGCCTAAAGTATTTTTCAAACTACTTACGGTGATTTCCCCAAAGGTCGAATAAAAAAATTTAAATTACATGCATATCTGCATATAAATAAACACATCGCGTGCGGTTTTTCTTCGCCTTGGCGTGTTAAGCTTAGAAATTCTAAAATAAAAACAAAACAATTTAAAGTTAATTTAAAGTCAATTTATTTTATTGATTTTTAGTGATTATTCCTTCATTTAGTAATTTATTGCCAAAGCTTTAATTAATAATTAAGATTATTTTTTTTTTCTTTCAACTGCAAATATTTACAAATCAGATAACGTCGGCGCTGTTATCTACCAAATATAATAATTGCAATTTATTGCGCATAAAAACTTACTTATTTGTATTTACATATTTATATTGATGGAAATTAGGATGGTTGATAATAAAAAATTAATATATTTTTTTTTTAAGAAAATTTAACTTTTAAGTTAGTTTAAGCACTAAATTTTTTTTATTTATTCAAAAAAAGTTTGAAAGTATTATTTTTTTTTTAAATATTTTATTATTTAAAATGTTTAAATTTTACAAAGCGAATAACCGATTTGCTCTCCACCACTGCTCTCCTTATTTGAATTCGCCTTGGTCACTCAAAAAGGGGCTCAAACAGCGCTCATGGCGAAATTGCTGCCAAATTATGTGTCAAAACACTAAATGTCAAAAATTTTCGCACAAATCTTTAAAAGTAGATATTTATACATATGTATATGTACATTTGTATGTATCAAATAAGCTAATTAGCGATTTCACCATTTAATAACGAATTTCTCATATCACTTATATCATGTACGTAGGTATGTACTTATTTACATTCCTAAACACATTAGAGTAAGTAGGTAATTAATATGTTTCTACTTGTCGTTAAGCATACATACATATAAATACATAAATATGTTTATTTACAGGCTTCTATCAAAGAGATTCGCGAGCTCGCCGCACGTTTATGTCGCGATTATTTGACTGGCCGGTGGAGATCGATCGACCCGGCTGAAATTATACTCAAAAAGATTGAGTGAGTTATTATATATTTACACAATTTAATTGATAAATAATAATATATAATTATATATTCTTACTTACTATTGTTTAGCGGCGGCTTATCGAACTTTCTTTATTATGTAAGTTTACCTACGGAGGACAATAATATCCAGTATAACCAAGCTCATACCACAGTAACGCGTAGCACTGAGAACTACTTGCAATTAAGTGGTAGCAGTAATGAGTCAATAGACGCTGAATGTATGAGTGGTATTAATAATAATTATGATGAGCGGCGAGTAAGCGTAGCAACGGCAGAGTCACATAGTGAGCCGAAGGAGGTGAGTAAGAAGTTCAAAAAATAAATATTCTTTGTTTTACCTTTTTTTTTACCGCAACAACCTTTTCTTTACATATGTGCATAGGTATTATTACGCATCTATGGCGAAGTACATGGGCAGGAGGACGCTTTGGGTAATATCATCACAGAATCCGTTGTATTCGCGCTGTTAAGCGAGAGGAATTTCGGTCCTAAATTATATGGCATATTTCCTGGCGGTCGCCTTGAACAGTATATAAATGTATGTATGCGCATACCATCAACACGTATTTAATGAGAAATATATATTTAATTTAACAAAAAGAAATTAATATTTATTGAGCACCCTGTATTTTGTTGCTTCCAGGCACGTGCTTTACTTACACGCGAATTGGCAATACCGAAAGTTTCACAGAAAATTGCCGAAAAAATGGCAGAAATACACACCTTAGATATACCAATGTCCAAGGAGCCAGAATGGTTATGGAATTGTATGGAACGTTGGCTCAAAACAATTAGCGGTATATTAATGCTGACTGATTGGTGAGTAAATATGCTTAGATATTCGAGCATATGTGCATTTGTATATCTAAATATGCATTCAAAAATATTATATAAGTGCAGTAAAGTGTAAATATATGTATATCTTTATCAGCAGGGATTATCAACTCATCCGATTGTATTTCCGACATAAAATAAAAGCTCCACATAAAAAGAAACCGTCAGCCGTTCAAAAAATTAAAAATCAGAAGTGGGATATTTAATTTTTATAATCGAAATTTGTATTCCTATTATCAGAGTATGATAACAGTGATGCAAAAAATCATTCATTGCGGCTAAATCAGGTCTATAGATATGTAGATTATGTTCGGCCTAAAGTAATGAAACGGCGCTAAAACTCTTGCGAATTGTGGCTAACCTTCGAAGTACTCACATGGCTGCGCTTACCCGTCGCTTAATGTCCAAATGTTCATGAAAAATGCGTTTTATCTGCTCAGCTGCGATGACTTTAGTTTAATGTCAATGGAATCGAGCGACAATTTCTGACGTGAGTTCTTCTATTGGGCACTGTGTACTTAGTACAAACGCAACATAACTCAATATGCCACTTCTGAGTTATTGCAGTTCTTTGTGAAGTATTCATGGTCTTTATACAGCTATTTTTTTTTGTTTCGGTGTTGTCTTTTTCGCTAAAATACTGATTAATCAACTATTTTTTTTTATTTAGGTTAAAAGCGTCTAGCACGCCTGCTTTCAATGGCTGTCAAATACAAAGTAAATGACGCAGCTAACTTAAACTTTTACCGCTGCCTTTTCATATATGACAGTTAGCACGCGCAGTGTTGCATTTGACGTTACTGCAGTTCAAATCAAAAAGTAACTGACTTGTGATACTGTCCTTGTGAAACTGAGTTTCTTTATTTAGATATTAAAATTTACTGTTATTAATTAATGTATTAAAATAATTAATTAATTTGTTTTTTGTATTTATTATTTAATTTTCTGATTTCCAAAAATTCTATTTTAATACCGTTACAGGGGTGATAAAGCACCATTTGTCGATTTTGTGCGTAAATTCGATTTCCGCAAGGAAAAGGCGTGGCTGCAATCCGTCATCAATGAGGGCAATCACAAAGTTGTTTTCTGTCACAATGACATGCAAGAGGGCAATATACTCTACTCCAATTCAAGCTGCGATAAGACAAACGGCGCGAGGTTAGTTAGCTACTTATGTATGTACATATGTATGTGTGTACATATGTAAATGTAGTGCTATGTATTTTACACTATAAAATATCTTGTTTACAAACAAGTTTTTGATTAAATGTGGTAATTTTCCTTTTCTCTGCTTATTCTCCGCCACTAAACAATAGCTTCGCTGGTCAGGCGTACGCACAAAACCCAATAGCCTGCAATGAGGATGATATCGATTTACAAATTATCGATTTTGAATATTGTGCATACAATTATCGTGGTTTCGATCTCGCCAATCATTTTATAGAATGGACTTTTGATTACAGTAACCCCGCGGCGCCATATTTCCATCAAAATAAACAGCATTATCCAAGCGAGGCGGAACGTCAAAGATTTTATAGCGCCTATTTGCGTAAGATTAATGAAGGTGTACAGGATTATGCGCCCACAGCGCAAGAGCTGAATGATATGGACGAGGAGGTGCGTCTATTCTCAATGTTCTCACATCTCTTCTGGAGTGTTTGGAGTGTGGCTATGACATTGGCCACCATACAATTCGGTTATTGGGTAAGCGTGTGGCAAATAATTGTGTTTAAATATATAATATTTTAAATTCGTTTTTTTTCTGTTTCGCCTTCAGGAATACAGCGTGGCACGCATACGCGAATATCAGCTGCTGAAGCAAGCATATTTACGTGCAAGTGCCAAGAAATCGTGATAATCATTTAGTTGTCGATTTAAGTGATGTTGTTGCCATGTTAGGCAACTTTTATCAATATCATTGAGCGTTTTGTGCGCTTTTTGCTCTTGTACTGTATTGTATTTACTACGAATTTGATTATTTTTGGTCAATTTTGAATCAAAAAAAAAAATTGTAGCTCGTATATTATTCTAAGCGAACAAAAACTGTTATAATCGCTGTGCATACATTCATATTTACATATGTACTTAAACATAAGGTTTCCTTAAGACAAATATACATACATACATAAAGATTTCTTTATACATACATATAAATATTATAAATAAATAAATAAAAGTATATTAATTTTAAATTACTAAATCTATTAGACTTTTCTTTGCTATACTAATAAGTAAGTACTTACATATCAATAAATATGTGATATACACAAATTGCTTTCTTAATCGAAAAATCGTTTAAAATTTCGCCTTCCGGGTATGCTCAAGCGACCGCGATTATTAGTGTTTGCTGATAACATATCAGACGGAGGCAGGCCACAGGCCACAGCATACACTACATGCACTGCATGAAATACATAAGTATGTAGAAAGTTATGAAATTGTATTTTAAAATTTTGTTTAGACATATGTACATAACACTCAAGATTGCCAATATTTTTGCCCGCATTTTCTAAACTTTATTGTCTGCCAATTAAACGTGCGATAAGATAAGATAATTGAGAAGTAATGCTTACGTCAGTTAATAAAGATAGTAATACTTCACGGCTTGGCTTTCTGTTTTTTCTTCAAATAAGATACTAATTATATTTAATTCTTTCAAGATAAATTGTAAATATTTTTTTCTTTTTAATTTTTAATACTTTTTAAATTATTTTTAAAAGATTAAATTTCAAATTTTACTTGTTAATTTGTAATACATTTTAAATTATTTTTAAAAGATTAAATTTAAAATTTTTCTTTTTAATTTTTAATACTTTTTAAATTATTTTTAAAAGATTGAATTTAAAATTTTTCTTTTTATTTAAAAGATTAAATTTAAAATTTTTCTTTTTATTTTTAATACTTTTTAAATTAATTTTAAAAGATTAAATTTAAAATTTTTTCTTTTTAATTTTGAATACTTTTTAAATTATTTTTAAAAGATTAAATTTAAAATTTTTCTTTTTAATTTTTAATACTTTTTAAATTGTTTTTAAAAGATTAAATTTAAAATTTTTCTTTTTAATTTTTAATACTTTTTAAATTATTTTTAAAAGATTAAATTTAAAATTTTCCTTTTTAATTTTTAATACCTTTTAATTTATTTTTAAGAGATTAAATTTAAAATTTTTCTTTTTAATTTTTAATACTTTTTAAATTATTTTTAAAAGCTGAAATTTAAAATTTTTCTTTTTAATTTTTAATACTTTTTAAATTGTTTTTAAAAGATTAAATTTAAAATTTTTCTTTTTAAATTTTGAATTTTAAATTTTTCTTTTTAATACTTTTTAAATTATTTTTAAAGGGTTAAATTTAAAATTTTTCTTTTTAATTTTTAATACTTTTTAAGCTATTTTTATATATGTATATCTATAATTGTTTTTAATATTTATTTTATTTTAGTTTTTTACAATGATATCTTTCTTACATTTTTATTAACTTTAAAATATTTTTGTATACGTTTTTATTTGATCAAAATATTTTAATTAAATATCTAATAGTTCTTAAATATTTATACAAAAATATTTATTTGTTTATAATACTTTTATTACATTTTTTTCCAATTAATTGTTTTTAATATTTTTAATTCAGTTTTTACAATGATAAACTTATTTATTTTTTTTTTAATATTTAAAAAAAATATGTAAACGTATTTTGTGTTTATAATATTTTTATTAACTTTTTAATAACTTTGAAATATTTTTATTATAAATTTTCAATTTATTTAATATATAATACTTTCCTTCAATTTTTAATACGTTCTAAATATTTCTATATGAATTTATATTTGGTTTTAATGCTTTTTTATTTTATTTTAAACAATGATAGTTTTATTACACTTTTAATATCTTTTGAACATTTTTGTTAACATTTTTTATTTGTTTATAATACTTTTATTATATTTTTAAAATCTTTTAAATGTTTCTATATACGTTTTTTTTCTTCACAATATTTTTATTTTATTTTTAACCATTTGCTTGCTTTTAATATTCTTTTATTTTATTTTTGACAATGGTAATATATTTTTTACTCTTAATATCTTTCAAATATTTCTGTATAAGTTTTTGTTTGTTTACAATATTTTTTAGAAAATTGTTAATACCTTTTAAATATTTCTACATAAATTTTTCTTTGCTTATAATATTTTTTTTTTTTAACATTTATTTGTTTTAATAAATTTTATTTTAGTTTTTAAAAAGTTATTTTTATTACATTTTCAATACGTTTTTAATATTACTATATTGTATATTATTTTTTGTTTACAATATATTTATTAAATTTTTGAAACCTTTTATATATTTTTATGTATATCAAATTTAGTTTTTAAGTATTTTTAATTTTATTTTGTCAATGCTTTTTAAACATTTTCATTTGCTTAATTTCTTAAATTTTCATTTGTTGTTTTTATTTTTTATTTTATTTTTATTTTTATTAAATTTTTAATACCTTTTTATATATTTATATATATAATATTTTAATATATTTTTATTAATTTGTCACTTTTTTATTTAATTTTAATTTGTTTTTTATTTTTTACTCATTAAATATACCTTTTAAATAAATTTTTTTAATTGATTTCTAATATATTTTTTAAAATATTAATATTTTTTATTAATTTTGCTTTCAATCAAGTATATTATGTAAGTATATGCCCCAAGATTTTTTTTTTCAAATAAAAGTTGTTTAGGAATTTTTTTAATTATAAAAATAAGTATAAAAGTCATTTTACGATAACCGAAAAGTGCTGATAAATTTCTGACTGTAGTTCTTTCGTACGTTAATTCGACATTATAAAAAGTTTATTGACCCAAATACTAATTTAACTAAATCTTAATTACACTCTTGGAGTAATAAAATTATAAGAAAATTATTTATCGCCCTGGTGGCGGTAAGTCTTTGAATAAAGTAGGAAAAGTGTTAACAATAGCAGGCTGAGCTCAGAGAGAGTGGAGAAAGGAGAGAGATGAGAGAGTGGAGAGTGGAGAGAGAAGAGAAAGAAGGAGAAGTTTTCTACCGTAAACTTGTTTCTATTCAAAAAATATACATCATCTTGACATCACGTGTTAATCGCCACCTTTTTGCGTAGAATTCTCCAGTTCCTCTGATAGTCAGCTTCTCAAGCTCTTCGCTGTCATGCCTCGAAGCAGATGTACGTCTAAAGAATTTGAGAATCCATACGCCTCAACCTTTTTAGGGTTGTTTCGTACTGGAAGCTGAAATTCAAGACTAATTTGTTCTATCCGGCACTATCTTTTTGCACATCGTCCTTCCCTTCTGTCGAAGTAAGTCGAAAAATCTCGCTTTTCAACGAATTGGGAATACGCGTTCCCCCATCGATGTGTATGATCAGAGTCTCTACATCATATTCCATCATAAGTCCGTCATCAAACTTCCCCTTGAGACCTATCTTTTTTCGTTTTTGTACCGTTCATGATACTTCCTGGATGTTGGTGACGTCAACTATCTTAGTTTTTGCCACGAGTTCGCAAATTTTTTATAATCACACGCAATTAATGTTGTGATAAGACATTTATTATTATTAAGCTTTTTTTCTATTTCTACAATTATCGTCAATAAATTACGTATTTTCCCCCTTTTGCTGCCACCATAGACATGTGGTTAGTAGTGAACTCTACTATGCGAAGGGTAATGGGTTCCTACATAACTGTCCGGCATCCAGAACTGGTCCTGCTCCTCGAAAAGAAAATCCCTGCTTAGAATAAACTATAGGTCCCTCCATTTTCAGGAAAAACTTATTTGCAAATTCAGACAATTAACTTATATTGCTGGTGGTATTTTTCTTTAATCCGATATTTATCAATATTATCTCCTAATTGGTGTATTTATGAAGATTTATATATGCTCGTGTAAACATGTGCGTTTATTTTCTAATATTTATTGAATTTATTAGGCTAATAGACCAAAAACAAAAACTACTACATAGAAATCGTATGATTATTTTAGTTTAAGTGCGATTCACTGTGGTATTTAATGCATATTTAATCTTTCGTAGTGGTAAAAAGAATTGTATGGAATAGTTTCTTTCAAGACAAGCGAATATAAAATGATAAGACTTTTCGTTGAAAATCATAAATACTTTTCGTGGCGCTATATTGGCTGTTTTATTTACTTTATCATGTGCCTATTACTTAGGAAGGCATATGTTCACACATACTTATGTATGTACATACTATACATCAAAAAAAAAAACTTTCTACGATCTTTATAGCGGCCGAATATCTTTTGGAATTTTGGATAAAAATGTTTACTATGATATATGCATAGAAATATATATTCGTACATACATATATAAATATGTACTTGACTAACAAAATTCAATATGATTTTTATGTAACTAAATAATGTTTTTTTATTTTTAACTTATTTTAATATGCCTAATTTTATTTAATTTGATTTTATTGTATTATAACTAAATTATTTTTTCTATTTTGTTTTATATATATATTTATAACTAAGTTAATTTCAATTTTTTTATATTCTATTTTGTTTTATATTATTTTACTTAATTTATTTTTGCTTTATTTTATTTTATATTATTTCGTGTTATTTTCTTGTCGTTTTACATATTTTGTATTTGTGTTTTCATTTAATCTCATTTTATTCTTTTATATATATATATATTTTTTTTTTAATTTTCTTTTTATTTATTTTATATATTTTTATTATATTTTATTGATCTTATTTATTTTTTTACTTAATTTCTTTATTTTATTTTATTTTATTTTATTTTAGTTAATTTCGTTGTATTTCATTTTTTATTTCCTTTACTTGAATTTATTTCATTTCGCTGCATTTGCTTAATTTCTTTATTTCATTCCGTTATTTTTTTTTCATTTTATCTTACAAAATGTTACTTTTTTAAGTTAATTTAATTTGATTTAATTTGGCTTCGGTTTATTTATTCTATTTCATTTCAAGTTTTTATTTTATTTTTCATTCTTTTATTTAAAAAAAATGTATTTTTTTAGTCTATTTTTTATTTTACCGCAGTATAAATTTTTTTTAGTTTAATTTCATTTCAAATCCTTAAATGTTTTAATAAAACTTTAATACATGTATGCTTTATCGTTACTT